GAAGCGAGCCATGCTAGCTGTTTCCTCCTGTTTCGAGTCCTTGTGCTAAGGTAAGCTAATCGGTCGGTAGCTGTAGCTTAACATCAAATGGACAGACATGAGAGTGGTATCAATCTTCTCATCTTACTCTCAACAAGAAAGCAAATATACATAATTCCCAAAATGTCAACGTGTTATTGAAATCTGACATTTAAATCGGTTTCTTATCCAAAAAGAGTCTCTGTGCACTATCGATGCACTCCCGCTCACTTTATCTATAGCTAGCCTACTTGTAGTGTAGCACTAACCTGTAAATATTGTTAAGATGTGTTTCTTCCTTGTGATTAATTCCTCATGTTTACATTGGGAGAGTCAGTTGAATGTGCCCCTGCGTGTCTTGGCTGGTGGTAGCGGAAGTTGGAATTTGTGGATTAAGCTTTTGTAATTGTAATAAGCTGTTGATTGTTTTATTTAAAAGACAGATTTAAGCACCTTAGTGTAGTCTTATGTCTTAGCCCACCCCTGTTAAATGTATTTCTTAAACTGCCATGGTTAAATCGTTAGGGCCACATCACATGTTATTTGGTAATGGTACGTTTTAGTTTTTTTTTTTCTATTTTGATTTGCTGCTTTTTGTACAGGGTCCAGTTTGAGACTGCCCTTTTTAAATGAAAAGTGTAGCGCTGTTGAATTTGTTGGCTGTGATAAATCCAATTTAGCCTTACTGGACAGTGAGCTCCAGGTTTCAGAAATGAGCTACAATTTAGATATTTTGAGCAACTTGAGGAGGTAAATGCCAACATTTTATACCCATCTCAAATCTGATCTTGTCATTGGTAGATGGGGACAACAGGCTGTTGACACAGACGGGGATAAATGCAACCTGTCAATGTCACACAAACATAAGGATTGTTGCTCTCTTGTGGCAACTCAGTAAACTGCACTCTGTTAGCAATCCTACACTAAAGAAAGAGAACAGCCTCCCTCGGAGTACATTATCACTCATAGTCATCATTGGAGAAGCCCATAGTTATTTGGGATCGTAAAAAAAGACTGAAGATCCACTTACCACTTCACTGTTTCGAGAAGCACTAGCCCAAGAGACAATACTGAAATACTGTGGTCATAGCTTGTGTGTTTGCCTTATACTTGGAGGGATTTGAATGTTTTTGTGTTATGGATAGTGATAGTAGCTGACAGTAAAGGAGGAGGGATAGTAGTTATTACTACTGATTTATGCACTTTGATTGCCACACTAGTCCATAATGGGGACATGTATGCAGATGCAAGAAGGAAAAATAGAAAGCAGAGATGTGTAAAGGTAGAGAAATCTAAATCCAACAGCATAGGTTTTACATCTAAATGTACCAAGTGACAACATTTACAAATCACAGTGATTTTCTCTGTGTTGTTTGTTTCAAACCGATCAGAAGATGCGGTTAGTAAGTTGCAGAAGCGGCAGACCTGGACCTGACTTGTGCTTTAGAATAACTTAGTGGATCATTGGCTGTGGTGTGGCATCCCGCACACTGAGGACAACTCAGCTGTGAGCAGTCAGTTATGTGTAACCCTGCACCTAAACTGGTGTTTCTGTGTTTCAGTCTGCCTGTTTTGCTATTGTGCTGCTCTTTGACAAGTATTTGTGTCTCCTCCCTGAGGGTGCATTCAGTACTCCTACGGTTGTTTCTGGTTTTGTTTGTTCCCTGATCACTATCATAATCAAGAAAAAATTTGAGGTCTTACCAGTTTGCTCCTGTTGAAGGAGCTTAATATGTGACTGTTATATTTCATGCTATGAGAAAATGTAAAGGAAGGCATCAGCTGCCAAAATTGATTAATGATAAAGATATCCATTACTGCGAGCACTTTATACTCCAGGTCAGCTGGTTGAGTTTGAAGGCTGATACAGTAGCAGTTATTTGAATCAAAATCTGCTGATGGTAGGTGTTTATTCGTTTGTTTGTTTGTTTGTTTTTGTTTTTTTTTTTGTTTTTTTTTTATATTTCCATGGCAGAAGATTATAGGAAATTAGAAAAATGCAGCTTCTGCCAGAATTTTGTTCTTGGCAGGGGTTCAGTCCTCTGAAACAGCATTTCAACCGAAGGGATGACAAAACTGTTTGTTCAGACCCTGCAAAAATAATAAGTCCTACTGTATGTACCTGCTCGGAATCAGATCACAATAATGTTATACTAGAATGTATTTAAGTTACTGGCTTCCAAATCAGTGCAGTATTAATCAGTTGCTGTTATGATAAATCAAACAAAATTATTTGGCTTATCCCACTTTACACACTATATTACATATATAGTGCATGACACGGTATCCATAGAAGGTTTAGAGACTGACTTGGCTATGAAAGTTTAAATCTACCCTAGAGAGCAGAATTTGCATGTTAATCCTTTGTCTTGGATTATTTAGCCTAGCAAATAAGTCTTCCCGAAATCCATCTGCAAAGAAGACAAAACCCATCTGTGACATCATCAAAGTAATGTTTTATAGGGACCCCTTAAAGCACCCGAATCCTGAAAAAGAACTCAACAAATCCTTTTTGTTGAAGTGTGTTTTTTAATTTAGTCTTTTAAAGTTAAATGGCAGTAAAGTCGAGATTCTAGTAAGTGAGAGGGAAAATTTTGCACAGTGTTTAGGAGTCCTATATTCTAGGCATGTAGGTTTTATATCTTTTAATTAGCCAAATTCTCCTTTACTAAGGCTAGCAGCCAAAGGCTTGTATTAGATTTGGCAAAGGTGGACCTGCTCTTGTCCTCAAATGAGAGTTTGCCAGTGATGGTAAGTGGGTGCCTAGACACCACCGTAGTGACTGTGCATTCTGAATTGCACCCAAGGCAAATGTTTGTCACATAATGAAGCATTAAGAACGGCAGTTGTTTCAAAGCAGAGAGTGCTCATGAGATTGCAAAGCTGAGTCTCCGCTGGGACTTGTAATTTTTAGTGTGTGTCCAAAAGGATTTGATTCTGTGGCCTTCAGCTTCCAAGAAAATGGGAATATGACTATCTGACTTTCATAGCATTTACTAAAGTGTCAAGAAGATGGTGGGGGGGAAAGCTTTGTATATATGTAAGAATTTGATGAAATGTTACTTTATTGAGGAAGAAAAAAGTTTTACTTTTTTTTTTTAAGACAATGGAGGAGTTTTTTTTTTTTTTCTTTGTTTGTTTGTTTTTCCATTATCCCGTATTTTGGGCAAAGTTATGGAGATCCAAAACTGACAAAAGGTTATCAGACAAGTCATAAATATAATACATTAATTAACTATATTGTTAGTTCAATGATTAAAATGGAGTGTAAAAAGTAGAACAGCAATTTGTCCATTGACAAAAAAAAAAAAAAAATCTGCAACTATTTTTGATAATTGATTAATGGCTTTGAATCTTTTTCTCTTGCGAAAGCATGGCAGTCTTCTTTAGTCTTCTGTGGTAGTAAACTGTATCTTTGGCTTTTAGACTGTTGACTAGACAAAACAGCACATTTGAAGACATCACTGTGTTTGCTGGGCATTTGTGATGGGCATTTTTTTACCTTTTCCTGAAACTTTATAGACAAACTAATCCTATTGATCAAGAAAAGACTAAACAAATCAATCTATATTGAGATTAATTAATCACAGACCTAGTAAAAAGAAATATAACCTAAAGGTTTCGTTGTTCTTTAACTTAAATCAGTTGGTTAAAAAGCCGAAGGCTAGATGTAAATTTAAGTATATATTGTAAGACATAAAATGTAAAAGATATCACATGAAGTCTGAGATTTACATTCGTTGTTGTTTTTGCTTAAAGATGAAGTTAAAATGAGCATAAGAACAATGTGTCTGTGACTTTCTAATTAGCATTACCTAACTAGCATCAAAGTAAAAGCTAAAATGCTTTAGCTACTGCTGTACAGAGATATTATTGAATGCAGTAGAATATACAGTATAGATGATGATATCAGCTGATTGGCAGGAAATGTATAAAGCTTTATATTTCTTTTTTGCACTCAATTTAGATAATTTAACTAACTGAACTATGTATTTTTGTGTTTCTGACTCGTCTGAAAATATTCGACTATAATTTGTCAGTTGCTGGGCTGATAAAAGAACATGAAATTGGAAAGAAGTGTTGTTGGCCATTTTGCATGTGAAAGTTTGGTTACCTGGTCTAACAAATTTGCTCGATGGTGACTTTTCCCCTTTTTGGGCAAAGGTATATGTGACGATAACCGTAGGTACCAATGCCGTAGTCAATTCAAAGATGTATTATCCACATACCCCTCTACATTTCCCATACTTACTCATTTTGCAGCTGTGTTAAAGAAATCATACTGTGTACTGTTATTTGCTGATTCTACTTTATAATGTAAACACTATGTCTTAGTTAACTCTGGTGTACAAAGACCATGTGTAGGCAGTAGTTGTCAAGTTCAGCTATATTAAAATACTAAAAACAGTACAAGGACAATAGTGTCTAGAGGTGCTAATAACATTAGACTGTATTTTCTGTCTTTTATTGTATTATTGACTAGTGTCTACCATCTGTAACACAGCAGAACGTAATGAAATCATTTCAATATTAAACAGTATAGATATATTATTGAAAACGGAGGTGTGTGCTGTGTCTTTGTCTCTGCACAGACAAACTGAAATTGTTTTTTGAACAGTGTCATGTTTCAGTCAGACTCTCGAAAGGCACTTACATTAGTCCGTGACTTTGCTGCCATCTGTTGGGAAATCCACAACTACTTGTCAGCACATTTTACATGATTATCAAGACCGTTTTTTGGTTGGTACTTAAATACTTAAATTTTATTCCATTCATTGCAAAAAAAAAAAAAACAACTACATATTGTTTACAATTTTACAAACTGAGTCAGTAACATATAAAAATGTCATTAATTAAAAAAGAAAAACTGTCCATGACATTAGGCCAGAATCATAAGTAGCTGCACATTTAGAACTGCTGTCACATTATGTAAAATAAAACAAGGAGAACACCAAACACACAAGCTGATTCGTGACAAATGTGCTCATGTTGTATGTCATTGTGACCTTGAGCACGGCTGTACCTGTCCTTGGACTGCTGTAAAACTACTGTGGACTCCACCATTGATTTTTTTTGTGGACAAACAGGCACCGGAGGTGGTTTTACATCTTGGTGAGACGCAGGGTGTTGAGGCGGACCCCCAGAATGGTGGACCCTGAAGCGTACTGGATCTCTCTGAGGATCCCGTTCCACGTTCGCTCTGACTCATTGTACCTGAGGAGGTCAGACAGGGGTGCAGTAGGGTGCAGAACATCAGTATTTAGTGTTCACTGTCATTTCATACATGCCCTGGGATTTTTTTTTTTAATGTGATGTGTGAAAATGTAGAACACTGCAGAGCACATGCTATTAGAATACCGGCTGAAAATGGAACATCAGTTTAATTTTTCTTTAACATAAACACACAGAGACAATTTATCCGGTGATTTTCTTTGGTTTGGGCTGGAAAAAGTGGAAATATTTAAGTAAATTCCCGTTCTAAATTACCTTTTGTGATGTACATCACAATGTACCGAATGCATGAATGTCTGGATTAAAAGAGGCGTGTCGATCACTGTGACCCACCTCCAGATATCGTTCATCTCTTTGGGAACGATCTCCTCACTGTCCTCCAAAGGCATCATGGCAAAACCTCCTATAGCGTACAGCGAGCCAGCTGAAGACACCAGGTTCAGAGAGCTACGCTCCTGAGGAAACTTTACGAAGTCTGACCACCTGAAAAATGTAAACACACGTACAGAGATACTGTTAATACAAGACACTTAAAGATGAGTTGAGTAGTTCAGTAGGGAAATTAATATTTCTTTTTTTTATGCACCTCAAAGTCTGCCCAAGTCTCTTTTGAAAACACCACATTTAGGGTTATAAATGTTAAAATATGATTGAAAAAAGGGGGTCAGAGGATGTCACACTTGTAGGTTTATACCTCCGATGACCTCGGGGGGTGCGCCAGCTACTCTGTGAGACATCTACATTCTCCTTTGTCAGCCATATTCACTGATTTCGATGAACTCACGTCTTGGTAGCGATGTCGTACACCTCCACAGAGTCTGTCAGGCCGTTGTCGGTGACTCCTGCTGCCACATATATTTTGTCCTTGTGAACGGTGGCTCCGAATAAGGAGCGTGCGGTCTTCATGGGCGGAAGCTCCTTCCATTCAAATCTCTTGGCATCATAAGCACACATCTTTCTTAGACAGCTCCTTTTCACAGGAGACAAAGAAGATAATGCCTCTGAGATTTGTCATTCCGTGGTGGTCACTTTTATATAAAAGTAAAATGAGTTGCTGAATTAATAAATAAAGGCCTATATCATAAAAATTGCCACTGATAAACATTAATATTTTGATCACACTTTATGCTCACTTGTTTTCCCCCTTTCCTCCAATCACATAGACAACATCATTGTGGGATATCGTTGCGTGTCCATAAACTGGGTAAGGAATGGATTCTGATTCACCCCATTTAAAAGATCTGTAAATGCAAAATCACAGGAAATGTGTTAATCAATTAGGTGCAGTGTATTAAATAATCCATTTCTAAGATTCGAAACATGAACTTAAACTTGCACTCACTGTCTGTCGTAGACCAAAACTGAGTCCAGCGTGTGCTCCTGCTCCTTCAGCTCCCTCCCTCCCAACACAAAGATGGAGTTCTCTGCCTCGGCCAGCCCGAACAGGAAACGGGGAGATGGGATCGGAGGCATCCCCAGCCAATCGGCACTGACCGGGTCATACTGAGGTCACAGGAGTAAAACATTTGTACAGTACAGAATACATGCTGTAACACACACGGACAGATATGAACAGATGCATCCGTGTTCTGTATGTGCAAACACAACATGTACTGAAATATTCAACCCAAGTCTCCAGCATTTGTAAGACTACATAATTTCACCAAAGAGATGATTTTTTTCTTCAAAATTCAGCCTTTTGGTTTCTTTAAATCTCCACTTGAATTTAAAATAAAGTTTTATGGGTTTGAACAAATGCTAGCTGGACAGAATGAGTTTGTGCTAACTCACCCAGTAAACGGACAGTGGGTTTTTAAAGCAATTTCAAGCACAAATTCAACAGTATTTTTGTTGCATCATACCATATTTTTTGAAAATGAAAGTAAAACTTTAAAGCTTACTACTGTCTTAAGAGATACTGCAGGGTTTGAGTTATTGATAAAATATCAGAAGAATAGGCTGAGGCGAGTCAGTTTCTGTTACTGCAAATTTTTATCAGCTTCTCTTCTATCAAATCTTTATTTAGAGCCTCTCCTACCTGCAGGAAATAGGAGCACAGGGGATCTTCCTTGTTCTGTTCATCAAAGAATAATCCTCCTGCCACAAAAATCTGGTTCTCCTTGGTGACCAGGCTGGTGTGGTTCTTGGGAATCTGTGTGGACAGTGATGCTACAAAGCAGTCGTTCCCTGATGGATCATACGCCACAGCACCCGTGTCATTGACCATCAGTATCAAGTCCCTGACAAACATGCCAAATCTGAGGTTGTCATTCAGGATGCCTGGAAGAAGACCTTCTACTTCCTCCTCGTTATCCTCCCTCTCTCCGTCTTTTTCTGCTCCACCATTCTCCTTCTTGCTTTTTTTAACCTCAGGTATTTTCCCGGCACGAGCATCCCTAACCAGCTGGAGTTTCTGCTGCAACTCAGGATTTGAAGACATCAGTTTGTGTTTCTCCACTTTTTCTTTCAGGTAATCTTCATTGACCAGACGCAAACGAACGCAATCCAGCATACCTGGCAGCTCTTTCTCTCTGTTCTCTGCATCCTGGGACACCCAGTTTATCAAAGCCTCAAACACGGCCTCTTCTGTCTCTACGTTCAGGTTGTCGTTTGTCAAAATGGCTGCCAGCTCACTGGGGAGCAGCTGGAGGAACTCCTCATCTCTGGAGATGAGCTGGAAGCGCTCACAGGCGTAGTTTCGGGCAGAGACAGCCAACCTGGGACAGTCTAGCATCAGGCCAAGTCTGAAGACAGCCAGGCAGTTGCTGAGGCTCAGGCGCTTTTGTAGGAAAGAGACACATACAGTGAAAATTGAAGGGATCTGGTAGACATTAGCCACAGCGAAGATGTCCTGAACATTCTGCTCCGTCACGTTGATTTTGGAGGTGTACAGGTACTTGAGGATCAGCCCCATGACTCCAGGCTCCACATCCTCAAGGACAATCTCCTTCTTTTTGCTCTCTTCTAGGTCAGATAGAAAGATGGAGCGGAAGTACGAGCTGCAGGCGCACAGGACCAGCCGGTGGCAGGGGAACTCCTTGTCTTTGATCTTCAGCACACAGTCAACCAGCTTGTCATTCTCCAGCAAGTCGTACAGACCGTCCTGGAGCAGCGTCTGCTGGTACATCCTGGGCTCGTCCACGGGGTTTATAGGTAGAGCCATTTTTAGTGGCAGGTGAGTATAAAGAGCCTTTCAGGGGCTGCAAATCAAACAAAAAGTCTTCTTTTTAGCAGAGTAGTTCTAATTTCTAGGCTGGAAAGAGGATTCAGAAGCACAGTCAGTCTGCTATTAGCCCACACCAGCTGAACCCAGGGGCGGCCCTCTCCCTCAGCTGTCCTGACCCTTCAACTGAGCTCCAACTGGGAGGTTATTTATAGACTGGGTGCTCGGTGTGGAGCTATGGGCTTCTTTCTGGAACATGAAATGCAATATCCATGCTTCAGTCCCTCTTTCCCACCTCCAACCCTACAGCTACCCACTCCCCAGGAACATCCACCCACACTCAGACAGCTGACACATTGCTTCATGGGAAATATGTCTGACCTGAGTCATAGGGGGCTGTGTTAAAAGCTGCCCCACCAGGTCTCTGTGGCTGAGTCATCAAAGCCACTGTGTCACCTTGTCAGTTTGTTAGATTAGTTCATTTAAATGATATTTACACAGTTTTATGGAACAAGATACAGATGATATAAAAATTATGACAGATTATTGTTATTACAAATATTGTAATTTGGTTGTCCCCCCAAATCCACTTTTATACAATTCAGATTATTATCTTAAAGAGGGACACTTATGAAACACAATACATATATACATATGTCTATACTGAATTTTGAGATATTGTTTAATTGCTGATAATGGTGATATTTCATTGAATTAAAGGGGTGTTCCAGGGACTTTTAGTCTCTACTGTGCTGCCTGACAACAACAGAGTGTAGTAAATAAATATGAAGTGAAAGGCAGATTATGTTAATTATAATGAGGCATAAAAACTTAATAGAAACATCACAGTGCAGTAAGAAAAAGAAAAAATGTCATAGTTTAGTAAGGCATAAAAAGCCACAAAAACAATATAGTATAGTAAGGCATAAATAAGCCATTTTATAGTAAAAGGTCACAGTATATTAAGGCATTAGAGTCTCCAATCAACCTGATGTGCATGTCAGAGTACCCAGAGAGAAGCCACGCAGGCACAGGAAGAAGATCCAAACTCCACACTGTCAGGGCCCGGTAGTTTTGTTATATATTTTGGTAGGTTTAGTTTTTGTTTCTTGTCTACTTCTACTGTTTGTTTTTTGGTGTGTGTGTGTGTGTTTTCCCTTGTCTTGTCTAGCTTCCTTCCCTCCTGTTGATTGCCTCCCTTCCCCTAATGTGATACACCTGTGTCTCGTTATCATCCAGTGTATATAAGTGGTGTGTTCTTTCGCGTCTGTGCCAGATCGTCTGGTCAGATTCCTGTCAGCGGTCCAGCGGCTGTTTCTCAGTATATATTCCTAGTGTTGTTGACCAGTTTTGCCTTTTGGATTCCGAGTATTTTCCTAGTGATTTTGTTTCTCTGCCCTGTGAATTGGATTTCCTGGTTTTTGAATTTTGGACTGATTAAACGGCTTGAGAACTCTTCTTCTCTTCTGTGTCCCTGTCTGTGCTTGACACACACAGAGTGTAAAAAGCATTGGAGTGGTTTGGTTAAAACAACATCCCCAATGTGATTCATTGAAATCCCCGTGGAGTAGTGAAGTCAGTGTGTCAAACATAATCTCCCCTCTTTCATGTTATTTTTACCTATGACCACACTGTTCAGCTCCAGGCAGTGACTCATCAGAAGTGTGTCCACAGCCATTCCACCGCTCAGTGTTTAAAAGTGTTTCCATCAAACAGGAATTAAGCTATACTACTGATGTAATGCTACAGAAATACCTCACACCCCTAATAACAAGATACAACAGTGAGTCAAATGGTGTAAAAAGCCTCACTCTCACATTCATATTTAAACAGATCCACCAGAAAGGTCAGAAACTTTCCATAAAGAAACAAAACGCGGCACTTTCAACAAATCTTTGCAGTTTATTTTTTTTTGCATTAACAGTGAAAGCAGAGGTTTCAGGAAATGAAATTTAGCTTTTACCTCCCTACAGTGTAAAACAGTTTAAGAGTAACGTTATTTAACTGTCATTCTCAAAGGGAACTAGCCAGTAAACACGAGAGGTGAACTGTACATGTAATACATCAAATATGATTGTCTTTCATTAAGATTTATTTTGTTTTTTACAGTCAACTGATGGTAAACATATTTACAGTAAATGCTGTTTTGGACATCAGCAGAAGTAAAGCATCCATTTAAAAGTTACATTATAAAATCTAGATTGGCAATAATACTGCTGGCTGCTACATCCTTCATTATCTGCATCACTAGTTGAACATTAAAGATCTACTCTGCTTTTTCCTTGCTGGGATCTGCGACTGGCTGGGCAGCGGCAGTTGCAGCTGCAGCGCTGGTCGGGCTGGGGGTGGCATTTGGAGGGGGGGCAGGAGGAAGAGGGTCAGGATCATCAATAAGGGCCTGTCTCCTCTCTCGCTCCTTGATCACTTGAATCAGGCAGTAGGTCATAAACATGACGATGATGGTGGTTATAGGGAAGCCTGGGAAGGTAAAGAGATGCGCAACTTCATTATTAATAGAGCTGGCGAAAAAAAGGAAACCCTCTTCGATGTAAAAAAAAAATGAAACAAAACATTTACCTCTGAGAAGCAGCCGTTTGGTGACCAACTTAGCAAAGTCCAAACTGTTCAGTGCCAGGATGTTGTACAAAACAATACTCCAGAAGTTGAAAGTATTGAAGACGGCTCTAATCCTGCGGGACATTGCTTCTGACATTGCCATCTGTAAAAAAATAAAATAAAATGAAATATAAATAAATAAAAATAAATTCACTAAACAATAAGCATTTTTTACTGAAATGTAAACCAACCTCAAAAGAAGCAAACGGCTCCATGGAGAAGAGCTTGGCAGTCCACAGCTCAAAGTTGAGGCCAAAACAGTTAAAGAAAGCCCAGATCAGCACCACCTCGCAGGGTCCCAGCCAGAGGATGGTAACGCCAAAGGTGCACAGTGTAGCCACCAGCTCCTCCACCACATTCTCATGCTTTCCACCCAGGTAATCATACACATACCTGTGGAGAATGAAACCATTCACAACCTCTAAATTTGACAGGATTAACAAGACTTTAATTTAATGTATTTGTCTCTCTGAAACACTCACTTGCACAGCCAGTCATTGATTCCTCTGTCAAAGTGGCTAAGAAAAGAGAAGTCAAGATCAGGTTTCGTATTACAGAGTTATATCGTGAGTGTAATGAAGCACTTGCGATCAAGCTGTGGAAACTCGACTCACGTTTCAGCAAACACATAGAGCATAGTGATGCACTTTGGTGGCTTGGGAGGGTCCAGATGATCCAGTCTGGATACTGTGTTGATGACTCCAAACATGACAGCTGCTTTTACCCAGTCATACACCAAGTTAAAGTAGGCTAGACCCACTGGAAACAATGTAAGCATATCAGTTATACCTTCAGTTTACACCAAGAACAGTTAACAGTTGGTAGAAAATGTTATTTTGTGCCAAAACTGGCAAAGAACTGCTACGACAGCCATTGCCAGGAGGAGGCCCAGACCTAGAGCCCAGTCAGAGAGGTGTTTCAGCAGCTTCATGTCGGTGGGGATGGTGAGGATGTACATGAAATGGAAGAGGACGTCCACTACAATGACGACCCCCAGGTTGATCAGGCCCTGCAGACTGATATTCCACATCTCCTGCTCTTTCCTTGTCAGGTCCGACTTGTTGGCCTGCAGGGGGCAGCAGACACGTGTCTCAACTACCAAGAGGTCAAAGACACCAAACGTCTACACTGCTACTCTGCAGCTCATGAAAGGGGTGGGGGGGGGGGGCTGGGGGGGGGGGGGTGGGGGGGGGCTTGGTGTACATTACAAATATAATGATTGATTTTATTGTTAACGCAGATATAAATGCATGAAATCTGATTGGAATTCTGAGTCTGTGCTTCACGTGAAAAAGGCAGTAAAGGGAACCCTGACTCTTTTTCCATTAATTCTCATGTTTTTTTTAAATGATCTCCTCCAATATGTTGTGATGGCTTGACCAAGAGAGAACCTGTCAATTTTGGATGATTACCACATCTCAAAGACATCAGAGCATCCTCTAGGACAGTGGCTCCCAACCTGGGGGAAAGGACCACCTCAAGGGGATTGCAAAGTAATTAACAGAACGGGAAAGCAGGAGAAATACATTCATGATAAATGACACAAAACTGTTGCTCCGTCCTTTTCTTCTGAATTACCTGTTACTTATTGTTTTTTTTTTTCCTTTTAGACCTCTAAAAAATTCAAATCAAATCTAAACCTATGAGTAGGCCTAGTCAGGTGACACTCTTTTATTTTAAAGGGTAACAAACCAAAACTGTTGGGAGCTGCTGAATGACTTTAATTAAAAAAAAATGAAGTTAAACAAAAATAATTAGAAATTAAAAAAAGACCCTAGTTCAACTTACTTGAACATAAAATTTATCAAAGGTCATGATGGGCCCGAAATAGAAGAAGGGGAGGTAGAAGTTGTACTTGAGCAGCTCCAGGATGTTGTAGTTCCCATCTTTCCTTTCACAGTTCTCCAGAGCAAAGCTCATACAGCGCATGATCGTAAACCCACAACCTCCATAGAAGAGAACATTACGCAGCTCGAAGTCCCCCTCCACAAATCCAGCCTATGTGGAGACGAAACAAGACAAATAAACAATAAAAGAGAAATAAGATCATCATTTCCTTACATTTTTTATACCTTTGTGTAATCACTTCTCCTACTATCTAGGCAGCATTTTACCTGCCAGGACACGAAGGGTTCACACTTGAATGTAGCGAGGGTAAACAGACCGGTGACAAAGCAAAGCCAGCGGATTTTCACTAAGGAGATGCTGTAGAGCAGGATACAGTGGGACAGGATGAGCGTGACGTAGGTCCAGCCCATACTGGTCCACACAGCCAGGAGTCCATACACCATGTAGACCAAGGACCTGTGCTGTGAGAGAGAAAAATAGTGTCACCGCACAACCACACGACCAAAGTCTACGTAATCACGCAGCTTTAGAATTGTCATATTACTCAGAAATGCACCAGAAGATAAAATTGTTTCTAACTAGAAGAACATTTCCCCACGGAGGCCTGTTCATCATGAGGCCATCTTGTTGATTTGTATCCAGTAGTGACAAAGACTTAAGGATAGACTTTCACCCTCAGACTTTGCTGACACATGATATGACATGTGGTCTAATGGTGTCTAACCAAACTAAACTGACATAACTAATCTTGCTAAATATAGAGCTGCATTTCTATTTATTGCTCCCTCTGTCTCTTTCATTCTTCATCTGCAGTCATCCCTCCATTTGACTCTCGCTCAGTGTTTTTCTTTCCACCTGGTCCCATTCATCATCTGCTGTTTAGATAATGATATAAAAAGCTACTGTGCAATGCAGTAAAAATAAATTGTGACAAAGTGGATTTCTGAAATGTCAAGTTTTCCTAATAACAGCACAGTGAGAGATGAATTCATGGTGGCGGACAACATGATCGTTTCTTCCATCTTATTTCATGGCGACTCGGTGCTTTGCTCAGATCATTAAACCTGAGTCCTTCACCTCTTTTACTACATTACTCTTCCTTAGAGGAGCTCAGTGAATGAATCAATTAATCAGTTATTTAGAACCTGTGGAGCCAGCATGGAGCAGATCTTGGCGAACAGCACATGACCGGAGAGAGCAAACAGGATGTGCTCTCTGAATGTGGAAAACCACATCATCCACTCAAAATCAGCTGTATCCTGCAGAAAGGTGAGCAGAGAGTAAAAATTAGAAACAGCAGATGTGTATCAAAGAACTCTTAATAAACTCATGCTCTCTCACCATTTTCCTCCCAAAGTAGTACCACCCTGGTTTTACAGTGGGTTTGAATGTCTTTCTGTTTGCATTGGCTGGAATTAGAAAAAATAAACAAGGATGAAAATTAAACCAAAGACCAAATGATATTAGACAATTATCTCTATTGTGCTTCCTGGCTTCTTGTCAAAATAAAGTTTGATGGGATAACTGCAACACAGCAAGATACAAACTTATCTCACTCATCTCACTTACATTACATTTTCATTTTCTGTCACTTGATGCCTTATTTTCTGTCTTTTATTTTAATCCCCTTGTCCTTGAATACAGACACGATACACACTATGCAGGGCCAACACTGGGCCTATTTTCCTCTTCTGCTCTGCGGTGTTAATACTGACACCTGATCTCTTCTGCGTGGTCTGCATAGCTCCAAGTCTTCACCCTCCACGCAGTGACACTGCCTCTGTATGTATATTGCACATTGTGTTTGTGTCTGTAGTTGACTGTACTACACAGCAAGCATTAAATATAACTTGGTATGTATGTCTCAACCTGAAGTGCATTGCATTGCACTCTTCTACTTTTGGAAAGACAAGCATTACAGAGCTGCACACGGGTTATGCTGTTATGGCACAGTTAGGGCGATATTTCATCTAAGTTTGGTTTGAACTTTGAACTATGACACGGTCTGTGAGAAAATCTTTCTTCTAAAGAATCCATGGTTACGATCTGGGATAGTTTGTTACACATATGTCAGTATCAGCAATATATGATGATGATATGTACAGAAACGCTACAGATATATTTGAGGTCATTTAGAAACAGCATCACCATACAGAGCCCACCATAGCACTGGGTGCGGACAATGGCTGTGTCAGAAATCACTCCCTCATTTACTTATTCACTGCTTTTTATGTGCTCTCAATTTTTCACTCTATAGTAAGTTGTAAATTTAGATTTTGGACACAAAATCATCACCATCACCGACAGGTTTACTGTCACACCAATGTAAAAAGTGACATTTTGCATTATGGAATCGGTAGCTGAAAGTAGTGTTCATTTGTTCTACGGGCAAATGGAAAACATTTGACCGTGGGATAAGCACAAGTTTAAAAAAAATGAAATCACTGATAGCTGAATTCTATTTCAAATGTCAAATGTTTGTCCGACACATTTATGGTGGACCCACACAGGTGTTTTCATTCAACTGCCTGATTAGACCTCTAATTAGGACTGTGTGGGGGCGTGTGCAGACTGTGCATCCTACCTGTTAGTTTGATTGCAAACGTTCATGTGGAACACCTGTGGCAGCAGGTGTGAATGTGTATCAGCTGATTACATTGTCAAACAGCAGCAGGGGATGGAGAGGTTGTGGTTTTCTTTTTTAACGCTTTTAGTGTTGGCAGAGACGGTGTAGTACCTTCTCCATTTGGAATCATCCAAGACGAAGCCATGAGAAATATATATATATTAGTTTTGTTTCAACTGTGATTCCCAAATTTAAGAGAATTTGGAGTACTTCTACATGAGCATGATATTATATATATATTTCCTCCTGTGTTTGTGTGTTTGTGTCATACTCACAACTGGACACCTCAAAGATCCAGCTGGCGGCCCAGAACATGGCCAGACAGAGCACAGTGTTGTAGAAGTAGATCTCATATTTGGGAAGTGCAGCTTTGATCCCCATGGTGACACAGACAGGAAGAGCTCCAGAGGCTCCTGAACACACAACATCAGACCAGTCAACTTTTTATATGTACAGCTGAAACAAGTTTTACCCCCTATTTGACAAATCAGGAACCTATTCTATTGGTTCCTACAACAGAACTATTACAAAATGTACTCAAAGTATCAAAAGTAAAAGTACTATGTACTAGTAAGTATTATGCAGACTGGCCCCTATCAGTGTTTATAAACACATCATATTTTATATATTACTAACTGTAGCTGTGAAATATGTGATGGAGTAAAAAAGTACAGTATTTCCCACTTAAATGTGGAGCAGTAGAAGTATAAGGAAATTGTACTTCAACACTGTACTGCAGTACAGTACCTGAGTAAATATACCAACATTACACCACTGCTTTGTATTGCACTGCACCACCTACTACATTATCATGTAGCTTACACATTAACACATCACACAACTTAACATCGTTAAGAGCAGTGGAGGAATTACAGTTACTCAAGTACTGTACTCCAGAACAAATTTAGACAAATTTACAAATTGAGTATTTCCTTTTTATGCTACTTAATACTTCTGCTTCACTACATGTAAAGGTTTTAGTTACTGATTAATTTTGCACTGGAGATTTTAGATGTAAAGCACACAAGGAGCTTAGAAAATGTGATACAGAGCTTTATTATTACACTAACCTGTATAAAGTTCCTAAAATCGACCACAAATAGACAAATTGGCATTAGGTAATAATATCCATACACAACACGATGTATTATTAATGATATGACATTCTAAATGATCAGTACTTTTACTTTTGATACTTAAGGTACATTTTCCTCATAATACTTCTGGACTTTTACTTGTAATGGAATATTTTAGATTCAGTATCAAAACTAAAAGTTCTCAAAGGTCAGCATAATGGCTCCTTCCGGAGTGTTTGATATTATTATAATATAAAATTACCAGTGTAATTCGCATTTTAATGCTTAACCAAGAGGTGCTAACGTGATCTGCAAAGTAACTAGTAACTACAGCTGTATAATAAAGGTTGTAGAGCAAAAACTTCAATATTTCCACAATATCTAGTGGAGTATTGGAAAATTAAAATATGCAAGTGAAGAACATCAGAACTGCTTTGAAGTGCAGTACTTGAGTAAATGTACTCAGTTACATTTCTCCACTTACTACTTCTTCATACAAGCTAATATGTATATTAGCCTGTTCAGAATAGCTAGGTGGGTTTATATTGATGCATCTTCTTCTGTACCAAAATACGTCGTTTTCTTTTTAACATTCCAGAGATACAGTACCAGACCCACGCGGCAATAATTGGGTATCTAGTTGCTTGAAACTTTTAGTTATTTAGGAATTTTATCTGCTTTTCCCTCCTTGAGACATATCACATTTATCAAGGAAAGAACAATGGAGGGCAAATGGGCAAGTTTCCAGTGATTGGACTTCAGAGAGGTAAAGACTAACAAAGTGCAGCTGCCTGCTATTTTTATCCAAGCCAACTTCTCTCCAGTGAAATAATCCAGTAGCCTTTGTACTGAAAGAAATCGCTTTGTTAAACAGAAACCCAACTTAACTAAGTTTTTTTTTTTCACAGCACTCACGCTGAATCAAATAAATTATACGCAACATCAAAAACTCTCCCTGTTCTCCCCTCACAATGTCTGCTTGAGATGCCTGCTGTTGAAATGCCACACGGTCATGCTCTTCAGTCTGTCCTCTGCAGCACCTGTTGTGATACTGACCTTGAACGCAGCAGTTGCGAGCCCCTGAAGAAGTTGCTATAAAACGAACCTTTTTTCAGTTTGTTGAGAAAAAAATTTAAGATTTAAAGAATCATGTTAAACAAATCATATGAGAGAATGTAAAGTGTTGTATCTGCTGTGCATCCACGGGGGCGCAGGCTGGGCTGCAGGTCCCTCTGACTCCCTGAGAGGGAGCTGCCACTGGTTAAAGGTGACGGGATGTATTTATACTTTGACCACTGACACAGAGGGGGGCGGAACGGGGGGGGGGGGGGCTAAATCATTATAATAGGTTATAAGCCATACAACATCAGGAGTCACTCAGGGTCTCTGATCTTGGCATGTTATTAATTTCTCCTACCTTTCTAAATAATGCAGTAGAGGGTTAACCCACCTAAACCTACATGGTTATGTATGTCAAGTGCAGAATAGTCATCATTGGTGTAAAACAATTAAGTATCAAACTATTAAACTGTAATTACACACAAATGAGCATGAATTACCATGAAAATACATCTATCGCATTTTCTTACGTCAGCTCTGTGTATTTGTGTGTTTAACATTTGTCAAATTAAAGGCCCTCCTCTCTCTTTTCTCCCTGTGATATTTTCCATATTCCTAGTTGCCAGATCTGTTTTGGGAGCGTCTAAGCTTGTTGCAATTTTGAGCTGTAGCCAAACCTCCATGTCTCAAATTCTACAATGAACTGCAGCTGTGCGACAACAAGCAGTGCTGACTAGTGACAGTGACACAAAACGCAATACAGTGAGATGCAGTGGCAACATTACAGCTGGAAACACAAAGCATACATATAAAAAATACAACGTGCATGTCTACACAATGGAAAGAGTCATATGCGGTTTATTTGGAAAAGTCAAGACATACAGGATGAATGTTTTCTGCTTTAATAGAATCATCCACTGGGAGTTGTTAAGAGAGTTGTTCAAGTGGCAATAATGCAGTTGGAGGTATGAGGCCACAGAGGACTCTGTTAGCCCTCCAGCATGTTTGTGAGTAGTTTTCATTCAGTCTGTGTGACGAATGTGAATCTCCAGAGGCTGCTGTTTACTTGATCTGTATACCATAATATGTCTGTATGTCTGAATACAGATAAAGATACAGTAAATGGAATTAATATTCTATTCACCGCAAATACAGTCATAATATTTAGCCTGTGCATTACCATCATAACAATTTCCATTTGGATTTTTAATATTTTTAAGCGAGTTTTAAAAAAAAAAATGACTGAATGCAAAATCTTTATTGGCAATATGATCCCTGAGTGAACAGTAGAGGAATCCCTGTCTGCCTACTCCTTCTTGCTGGTCTCCTGTCCCTCAAACACTGGGTACTTGCTCTCCACCTCAGCCCACGTCAAGGTGCCGTTAGCCAGATCTCGAACCACCTCTGGTAGCTCAGTGACCTGCAAAAAACACATTTTTGTAAATTAGTACCAAAGATAAAAACAGATGCGGTGCTTTTCATTAATTAAAAGCTACAGTCATTTCAGGTTCTACCTCGGCCCTGATCTGCCTCATTGAGTCCCGGTCTCTCAGCGTGGCTGTGCGAGGCGTCTTGTTGACGGTGTCAAAGTCGACGGTGATGCCGAAGGCCACTCCGATCTCGTCTGACCTGGCGTAGCGACGCCCAATGGATCCTGAAGAGTCGTCCACCTTGTGAGACACACCATTTTTGGTCATCGCCTCAGCTGAAAGGAGAAAAAAAAGGAGAAAAAGGAGTGACCAGACTGAGTTTAAGAAGGAGAAAAAAATCATCTGATGTTCATATAACAACTAAATAAACAGTTGAACATTTTGGGAAAAATGTTTATTCACTTCCTTGCTGAGAGAAAATTGATACCATTCTCATGTCTGGCCTATAGCCAGCAGCCAGTTAGCTTAGCTTAGCATTAAGACTGAAAACAAGGCTAAACAGCTATGCATGGTTCTGTCCAAAGGTAACAAAATCCATCTTTGTTTGTCTATGTGAAGAAAGCAAATAAACATATTTCCCACAATGTTGAACTATTCCATTAAACTGAATGACATTGTATTGAAATCTGTTTGTATCAGACTTACATAACTGGCAGACAAATGGCACGAACTCCTGGTTTTGGCTCAAAGGCAGGATGGAACATTTATATGGAGCTACAGTTGCAGGGAAGCTGAAATACTGGGCAAGAAATAAATAATCATCAATTAAAAGGAACAGTACAAATCAAAACAAGCATGTGATTCTCACTCAGATCTGATTTCTGTTTTGAAGCATTCTTACCGTCCTCTGCTCGTCCCCCTGCCGGATACGAAATGAGTGCTCGAAGATGGAGTACATGATTCTGCCGATGCCAAAGGAGGGCTCGATTACATTCGGAACAATCTCCTCCACTGTGGGAAAACAGAGACGGTTGTTTTCCCACAAGAACAACACACTGAGCTACTCTACAGCTACAAAGCCAGGTTTGATGTGGATGTCACCTCTTACCGTGCAGGGTTTTCTGGAACCTCTTCACGCTGACCATGTCTTTGGTCAGTCTGAATGTTTTGCCCTCCGACTCAAAGCTGAACTCCCTATATAGACACGAACACAGCATCGCCAATATTCATGAATACAATAATATAAATAAACATTATGGCACATTTGTTAGACAGGACACCCTGCAGTGATCAGTAATTACCCAGTGTCACTGAGAAGCTTCTCCTGGTCGCTGATGTAGCATTCGTCACAGACGGACAGGTAGTCCAGAACCAGCTTGGCATCTTTCTTGTAGGCCGTCCCTATGGCTCCTTTGTTGGGTTCAAACTGGACAACATTTACTACTTTGTGTGAAGAAGTTAAGGTGTAAAACAGACACACTATACAAACTAATACAATAGACTACGCACTAACATTGACAGCTCACTCTTTTGGCAGTTTTCAATTTGTACTTGCAGGATTCATGAAAAGCTTGGGTCTTGACTGTACTTTTTAATTAACTTCATCTTCTTCTTTTATTTTTTAATGTCATCATTATTTGATTCATTTTATTTAAAGCACATTCTACTGCATCTTATGCATGTTTTGTGCTATAAAAATAAAGTTTATTATCATGTGTGTCATGGTCTCAGCCTGGAGGCTCCAGGGTTTTGGTTTTTTGGACTTTCTTGATTTAGTTTTCTGTGTTTTGGGTATTTCTAGTGTCTAGTTTAGTCTTCCCTGTCTTGTGCTCTGTTTCCCCGTGCACTTCGTGTTTTATTTTGTAATTTGTTTCCT